ACACATGTAAATTTTTTTCCTGCGTGGCTTACGCCCGATCATCAACGTCAAATGCTCCATTTCACCTCATTATCAGCCGCAGTGAATAGAAGTATCTGATTGTGCTTCTGCAAATGAAATCATACCGGTAACCAACCAGGTGTGTCTTTTGGCATTCAAGCTACCGAAACCTATCTAACATCAACGATGCCCGCTGCCGAGCGTTTGATGTTCGCCCGTACCTCCAACGTAGCACCAGCTCGGGGTTCGATTTCTCTCTGGAATAGAGCCACTAGCGCTGTTTTCTTCGAGCTATGACTGAAGTTGATTGCGTGCGTAACGAATATCTTCTTCAACTCTTTCACAGTGATGGAGTTGGCGTCAAACCCTGGTTGGAGATAATCGACGTTGTCATCAAGGCTTGGGATGGTCTTCAGAGAGTCCTTGGTGCATTTCGCCTCTGGTACAGAACGCGAAGTCCCTCCAGGCTCGTTTTCGCGCTTCGACCTCTTGGGCCTGGTCCGTGAAGAGCTTGTTTGCGATGTCTGCTTCTGCTTGACTACTTTTGTGCTAGGCAGTACTTCGATCGCAGTCGCGGCATGACTGTTTTCCTCCACGTAAGGATCAGCCTCTACGGTGCCCGCTTCAGCATACGCTTCATCATTCGGCGGCTTTGTCCTGGTCCGCTTCCTGTGCAAAGGCTGTGTAGAATCCATGTCGGTTCGGCTGTTTTCATCCTGAGTCTTCTCTGTGTTCAAGGAAAAGTTGCCACTGGCCTTGTACATGGACGCAATGTGGTCGTCCCTGTCCTGGATCTCTCGAGCTGCATGCTGCAAATCCCCACTCATTTGCCTGACTTGATCTTTGAGCCGCTGGACTTTGGCTTTCGTTTCGTCAAAGTAAGCCTGACATTGTCGCAGGTGCTTCGATCGCTGCTTCTCGTAATAGCTGATGACGCATGTAATCTCGACGTCTTTTTCTTCGAGTTTTTGGATGGCCCATTTGTCCAAAACCGGCCGGCTGCGGCAATATTTCTGTTTGAGGATTTCATCATCCTTGTTTAGAACGTAGGTTACATCGTCAAATGGTGGGTGACCACTTGGCCTTTTCCTAGCATTTTCAGTCTTGCTTGCCGTGTCTGAGATCTCATTTCTGATGGTCCACGATTCCGCTTGTCGCTCTGGGTTTTGCGACATTGTGGTCGTACCTGTATCGAGCCCGTCTGCTTGGGTTTCAATAGCTGCCCCGCCATTCTCAAGTGACGTTGTCATCTCTCCTACTCGCACTCCCACTGGCTTGGGGTTCCTATTCTGCGGTTCTCCTGTACTATTTGCCTGATCTCTCGCAATTATACTTGGGCATGCTTCCGAGCCAAGGATTGCGTCTGTTGCTCCCGCTTTAATTGTGGACTGTCGATCTCGTGATGAAGAGGCATCGGTGCCTGAATCTCTCGGAACTTGGGAACTCTGGCTGTGGCCTTCTGGCTGTCCTTCGTGGTGAGTACGGACTTCAACTCTCGGGTTCAGACACTCTGCTTGGCTGCCTGGATCGCTCTTTTCTTGCTCCAGCTGGCAATCTTCCGCATTCCTTTTCTTCCCAAGGTGCATGGAGCTGACCGGAAGACTCGTGTATGTCGAGACTCTATCTACCATTCCCTTGATCGAAATTTCCAGATCTCGGTACCGAACTTGGAGCTCGTCTACTGCCGACGTAGAATGTGCCGTTTCATTTTTTAGCTGTTGCATGCGATCATGTGTTTGTCTCGAAAGGGCCTCCAGAGCGCTTGTTTGGCTTTGGAAGCTGCGGTCTACATCAAGTTTTGCGTGGTTGAGATCTTGGCTGAGGCTTTTCGTTCTCTCATGACCCGCTTCGGTACCATGCTTGAGCGTTTCCACATTGCCTTCAACAGCACTCAGTCTTGTGCTGATCTCGTCCCGCCAATAGCTCTCAACCCCTTGGACTTCCTGCTTAACTTCAATTAGATCACGAGAGATCGGAGCCAATCGATTTCGATCTTGCATCTGGTCTCGCATACTTTCGTTCTGACGTTGTTGACTCTCCAGTCTGCGTTCCAAGTCATCGACTTGTCTGGCTAGCTTCCTCGTCTGAGCGTCAAGCCGCGCACGCTTTTCTGACTGGTCTCGAAGCTCCTTCCACCCGGAAGCCTGGGAAGCGATTTGTGCTCGTAACGTCTCTGAAATATCCCCATTCTTTCTAACAACGTCCTGTAAGTGTCTCAGGATTGGGTCAACCGTGGCTGCTTTGCTGTGTAGATCCCGCTTAACGGCTGACATTTCAGTCACAAGATCGGCCAGACGTTTTTCTGCACTTTCCCACTGCACGCTGGTCTGATGCTTGATGCTTTCCAATGAGTGGGTCATTTCATTATGTCTTCCGCTCAAGTTCTCTCGCAAAAATTGGATATCCTTCTGAGTCTGATCCAATTGCAGCTGAACCGCTTCCGGAACGTCGTCTGGTGGTTTTCTTGTCACTTGGAGAAGTAAGGCGTTTTCGGTACTTTCCGCATCTTGGTTTTCTAACAGAGTCTCCGGGTTCGATCTCTTAGCGCTAAAGTTCTGTAACCCGTTGAGTGTTGCCTCTAGCCGCCGGATTCTGTTTGAATGATCTAGGAAAGTCTCTTGGGTCAGGTGTTCTGCTTTTTTGGCTTTTGCCAGTG